TAATTAATATAGCACGAAGTTTTGGTTCGATCTACAGTACATTTTTTACAAAAGTTAAGCTGTTTATTTTTATTTTTATTTTTTAAGCTGTTTATTTAATAACGAAAATATGTCTCAAGATAAAGCATATAAATAATAATACAATAATACTTTCATCAACTGATATTCGGGTCTTGCCTTATTTCATTCTTTAGAGGTGTCTTAAATGGTCATGTATAATATGTATTTTTGTGTACCTGATAAGTGATAGATTGACTCTACTAGTGGTTTACCCCGATTTAAATATAATCATGTGATTATTGATACGGGATGTGATTATAGATACGGGTGAGGCTGACTGCAACCTGGCACACATTCAATAGATGTACGTCCTACTATAAAGTAGAAATTATTACCTATTATGCACATATATACATATATTTCCTAAAAAATTTTAAGAAATTTAAGATTAATATAATTAAACTTCTTAATATGAAATCCTAATATAGTATATTATGTGTCCAATAAAACCAAATAACGGTGAAGTTATATAAAATTAGGTCTGAAATTACCTTTTATCACTTGAATACTAATTATAAAAAGTTTGCATTGAATGAATTCAAAGTTAACTAGTTAAATATTTATCTAAACTATTTTATATTATCATCAAAACTTATTCTTGTCCTCATTCCAACAGTAATAAAATCGATCATGATCTATAATTAATAGAATATTTATATTATTTGAGATTTTATTATTAATTAATATGTTTGTTTTCTTGATCTGTCTTTAATGAAAATAATTCATTTATCATAATAAATTACAAAGAGTATTGAAATGATTCGTTGCGTTATGTGGCAGAGAATTTCTTCGAAACACCAAACTACGTACTATTAAATCATGGAAAAGATGTTATTGTATAAACAATTATAACTCAAATGAAAATGTAAAATTTCTGCATACTGTACGTATTGAAAATCTGATATTGTATATTTATAAGCCACTTTTAACACTACATGTAAAAATGCTTGGTTCAATATTTGTTTTTTAAGCCATTTGAAATTGAAATAAACAAACTGCAAATGACCAATATTGTTATTTCCACTTTTCAATTCTTTGCATTTATGACTCGGAATATACCAATTTACAATAATTTATAATGGATAGCTTTTTTTTTATCATTGTTTCCAATATTTTGGCCTTTTTTTTTCTTTTAGGTGTTAATATTTATTCATATGTTGGAGATGAAAAGGTACATATGTAAATATTTCAGTAACATAGAAACATAAAATTTAAGTCTCGTGTATTTTTAATATTGTTCTAGGAACATAATCCATATACTCAAGGCCATATTACATATATTTCTCCTGCTGTTTTTACTTTCTACATGTGGATACCTATTCAGATATTTTTAGGATGTTTTGGTAATAATTACTTTAACTAAACATAAAATCAAATATATTAATTTTAATATACTTAAATCTAATTTCCATGTTAAATCTAGTTGTATATCAATTTTTTCCAAAAGCTAAAGAGCATGTTACCACTATAAGTTGGTATTTTGTTGGTATTGTTGCGTTAAATTGTTTATGGCTCAGGTTTTGGGTAATTATTTTATTTTATATTATTTGCATATTTGATTTTTATTATGAATCGTTTATTGTTAATAACTTTAATTTTAAAACAGCAAGAGGATGAGATTTACTTATCTTTAATTGCAATTCTTATAATGGTTGTTCAATTATCCTACATTTATTATATTCTTGAATATACGTATTTACCTTACGGTGATGAAGATAGTAAATTAGACATCATACTTGACATAGCTCTTGTTCATTTACCATTCTGTTTATATCATTCTTGGTCTGTTGTGTTAGTAGCTATTACAACTTTCACTATTTTCGTACCTGAAAAAATATCTGAAAATCCAAGTTTAATTGAATTACTCCTAGTAATATTATGCTTGATTTTTTTTGAACTGATCGCAATTATGTATATTGAAGTTAATAATAATGTTGCCGGTTTCGCTGGATTTTTGGCAAGTATTATTATTTTGGAAAAAAATGGTTAAGTTGTAAGTTATATATACCATAATAATTAAGTATTACGCTTTTTTTTTAGGTAATTATTTGGACTTTTATAGGAATTTCATACGAACAAGAAGAATTCGTAATTCATTATACTGCCATTTTACTTTGTACTATTATTGTGATTTATTTTGTTATATCTTTAAGAACATTTAGTTTCTACAAAAAAACATAATCAGAATATGTAATTGTACGATCCCAGTCTTTACTTTTAAATTTTGTTAAAAAAAAAAGTTTTAAAATCTGTTTACGTATGATGTGTTACGAAAATATTATAACGAATGCAAGGAAAAGATATGTTCATGCTATTATTCTATATTAGAATATTTCTAGTTAAATTAAATAATATTTCTAGTTAAATTCAATAATACTTTTAGTTAAATTCAATAATATTTTTATTTTAATTTTATTAGAAATAAAAATATGTTTCATTGGGATTCTATTGTATTCTTGTGTTCTGAAGTATTTTCTTTTTCTTAAAAGTTTCGGGGTTTTAAAATTATAGTTTCGGAATATAATTTGTATATTGATTTTTTTATTATCATGTGATTGGGAATACTGAAAAAAATAAAGTCAATCTGATTGATATAATAATATAAATGACGATTAACTAAAATCTATTGGTGTAATAGGGGTACTTGGTCTTACAGGGCTAGGAATAGGAGTACCCCAAAAATGAATGTGTAGGTATAAAATTAGAGCAGTGCCTGAACTACGAGCTTCTCTTAATGCTTTTTCACCTTCATAATAAATATCATTTCTTTCAAGATTTAAAAAAGTAAGAGTTTTGTTTATCTTAAGTGCCTTTGCTAAAGCTTTTCCTCCTTCGGAACCAATATTATTTTTGCTAAGATTTAAAAATGTTAAACTAGTATTAACATGAAGTGCCTCTGCTAATGCTATTTCACCTTCAATGCCAATATTATTTCTTTGAAGATATAAAGAAGTTAGAGTATTATTTACATGAAGTGCCTTTGCTAATGCATTGCATCCTTTAATAGTAATTGAATTTTCGGCAAGATTAAAAAAGGTTAGAGTTTTGTTTACATGAAGGATATCTGCTAATGCCATTCCTCCTTCGTCTTTAACTTTTCGAGGAAACAAAATTTCACAAATTTGATTGGTCGATCGACACCAAAATGTCACATGGGTACATGGCTTTAGCGATCCCATAAAAAATCAATACATTTTCCTAAAAAATAGACTACGTTACATCAATTCCAAAAAAAATCAAGAATAATGTTATCGTTATACTTATTTCATAAATTAGTGGCGCAACCACAATTCAGCAGATCACTAATACACTTATTAAGTAAAGTTGCCTAGATGATAATATTGCAATAGTATTTGTTGACCAGCATAATTGCTTAATAACGACCTAGCTCCAATGAATTCAGACCAGGAAATTTGGTCACGAAACTAATCTACTCCCTTGTCACTCAGAAGTGACATTAACTTAGATGAAAAAATTTCTTGTTATTTTTCATCGTATACTTATTCATGGATTCATTATTATTTTCGCAATGCTCATATCTTCTTGACATTGATTTATTAGTTATTGCATTTTAGCTTCAATTCATTGCTAAATTATCATTGCTATGATTAATTTTAAATGAAATGAAAACTAAATTATTCCTAATTAATATAGCACGAAGTTTTGGTTCGATCTACAGTACATTTTTTACAAAAGTTAAGCTGTTTATTTTTATTTTT